ATTGTATACAGATCATATTTTGATTTCTATACAAACGCCTTAATAAATTGTTTCATTGAAATTCAATTCCTATTCAAGCAACTAATCCGTTACATAATACTGCATAACTGTACTTTAACTTTCAATAAATACTTCAATACTTTCAATATTACTACAGCTAACCCCGTTCATAAGCCGAATCTCTTCAACGATTCGGATTCTCGAACACCTAGAGTGGCGTTAGCGGAAGATGTGGCGCTTACGTACCTCTTTGATGAAGGTCAGGGCTCTAAACAGGAAGGAGTCATGTTCCAGTGGTGGATACAGACAGAGCATGGTCTCGTGTTCTTGTCAAGTGATTCCAGTCTACTGAACTTCACCACATCCTCGTTTTATACAAGTCAAAAGCAATGGTTAGTTAAAAGGAGAGGGAGGTTATAGTACCTAATAATTACAGGGCACCAAACGGTTGTTTGCTGCCCTATGTGCCAAGAGGCATATGGGCAGAAGTAAGTAAGTAAGCCGGTTGTTTGTTGATACCAAAATAGTGATGAGGATGAGGATGATGATAGTGATGCTGATGGTGACGATGATTATTCTGAAGATAACAATTATGAAGAATATAAAGATGATGGTCACTAGGGTGATGATGAAAATGATGATGATAATGATGATGATGATGAAGATGATGATGGTAATAATGATGAAGAAGCTGATAATTATGCAGAAGAAGTGATAGTAATAATAATTATGATTACTATTACTACTACTGCCACTACTACTACTACTACTACTGCTACTACTCCACTGCTACTGTTGTTGCTACTACTACTAAATAATAATAATAATAATATTAATATTAATAATAATAATAATAATAATAATAATAATAATAATAATAATAATAATAATAATAATAATAATAATAATAAAATGAAAATGTGATGCTAAATTAAACAGAGGCGATTCTGATAATGATGACAAAGTTATTTTGTATAATTTGAATTAGGTTATAACATCACGATATACGTTTTATAGGCCTACGGTTTTTTTGGCTTGTTATTTTTGGTTTTTAGAATTCTAGACGGTCAATCGGAACCAAACTTTAAAATAAAAATTAAGACCAATTAAGGAAAACGCTGTAAGTGCTATGTAAACCTGTTTAGTGTCACCTCCATTCTTCCACAGGGAGTCAAAATATAATTAAAAGATGAATTAAATAAAACAGCTGAAAGGATGAGAGATCAAAGGGCAATAGAAGGAATTGTTTTTATCATACCTGCGTTCCACAATAAAACCAATTCAATGAGATATCCTTTAAATATATGTATATTTTTAAAATTTTGAAATAGATCCGGATATCGAAGGCCTACAACGATGGGATGTATTTATATCGCACAGTGGTTCAGACAATGACTGGCATTTTGTGTTTGGAACACTTAGAGGGTACCTGGAGCAGAACGGTTACACGGTCTGTCTTGCTGAGCGAGATTTTATTCCAGGCACAAGTGAGATTATAGACCTTCATATTAGTTTAAATATTTTTAGCGCAATTGTACATTTTACATTTTCTATCTACAATTTTTTATATCACTTTCTGTATATATTTTGTAGTTGTCAATTTTGTGCTGTTTTTAAATATTGTTAATTAATACACAATTCAGGCATGCGGTGCAATGGGCCTATATGTATTTTTTTTGTTGTTGTAAGAATTGAATAAATATACCTCAATATATTGAATACCTATAAAATACCTTAGTAGATTGTTATAATATTTTTCTCCAACTTCTACCAGTGACTAAAGTCATCGTCATCTGCGCTGAAGAGCATTGCATTATACCATTGACCTTGACTGCATAAACATTTATTATTATTTAATTATCCCTATTTATTATAATTATTCTATTATTATCATTCATCGCTAGTGACATTCTTATTCCTATTGCTATTTGTATTACTACTTACATTTTTATTGCTATTATTATTATTATGATTATTATTATTATTATTATTATTATTATTATTATGATTATTATTATTTTTATTATCATTATCATTATCATTATCATTATCATTATCATTATCATTATCATTATTATCATTATTATCATTATTATCATTATTATCATTATTATTATTATTATTATTATTATTATTATTATTATTTTTATTATTTAGATATACAAGAAGAGTACGTTAGTAACATAAGTCGGAGCGTACGAACAATAGTGGTGATCAGCAGTGATTACCTGCATAGCCCGCACTGCAACTTCCAACTATCAGCCGCCCTCGACATGTTCCAAGAACGCAAAACAAAGATAATCTCAATAATTTACAACAATATTTCCTCTAAGGATATACACGAATTTCATCCCAAGTTGGCGAGCGTCTTGAGGATACTACCAGCCGTGCGATGGACGGATAGTCATGGTTCTGATAATGTAGAAGATATTTGTAGAAGGCTTAATGCGTGTTTGCCTCGGCCATCAAAATTAACAATAGAGGAGGATAATGACCAATTGACCTCCAAATCTCAGAAAGAAATCGAATTCACTAAAAAACCTACTTCAGAGAAATATGAATTGTAGTTTCAATAACTTCAGAAGATTCATTTTCCCTAATTATATATGCTTTTCGCAGCTTTATTGCATTTTCTTACGATGGAGAAGTAGACCAATTCCAAACCTTAAATGTATGACAATATCAAGCCCCTACATTAATGGTGACAGTTAAAAACTCTTGGTTTATTTAACATGAGATTGTTTAACTTCATTAAGGTATTATCATTGTGTTCTTTTAATATAGGGCTATTTTGCTTTAGGCCTATTAAATTATAGTTTATACTATGATAGAGGACGTAAAAGATGTGTATAAGAGACAGTATATATTCTATGAGCTCTCACTGGCTAAATCCAGGAGCCCCAATCCCAAAGGGGAAAAATGAGCATAATGGGCCACCTTAAGCAGTAAATTTAAAAAAGTCCCGAATTTCAGAAGGGACATGTCCCAAAATCATAAAAAGATGAGATGATCTGCGTGACATGTAGTGGTTGTAATATATGTAAGAAAATAACTGAACAATAACCGCTAAATAAACATTTACAAACATAGAATATGGCTAAATATTGAAATTTTTGTTTCATGACAGCAGATTAAAATGACGTAACTATCATAATATTTTGTGTGAAAGCACATCCTAGTTGCTATCCTCCAGATATTTTCAAGAGCCTCCTATAACCTATTTGATAGGGTAACCATAGAGGAGCACCAAACTCTATGCTCTATGATAAGGCGAACAAACGAAAGGATTGTTGCATAAAATTAACCTCAAGCATAGATGCTCTTGAAGTAACGTGAGCGACATACTGTCACCAAATAAAGTTGGAGGCAACATATGACACCAAGGTGTTAGTAGGAATCGACAATCTATATAAATAAGACAGAACAATTATTTTGTCTGATCTCCTTCTAGTTACCAAACGAGAAATTCTTAATATTTTACATTCTGAGGGGTGGAATGAAATTAAAAAAAATAAAATATTAAGCTCGGACCAATGAAAAGATTAAAAGACCAACTTCGAAATTTCACAATAATATTTAAGTACGCCCTATAAAAATTTAAAAAAAGAGGAAAGTCCACCATAAAGAACCACAGATACAGTATCTATGAAGTTTTGTGAAAAGAGTGGAGTGACAAACTGGATCAAATGAACTGCTGCAATAAATAGAAATAACATCAATATGAAGAGCTTTCCTCATCAACAGTCTGTGCCCAGTGTTCAAGGCAAAGGAGAGTTTTTTTGCAGGACCTACTTTTTACAAAACCATGTTGGCAATCGGAAATGAAACATACAATTTTTGTAATTTGGTCCACACCAACTTCCCTTCAGCAATGTTCCCACCACTGAACAAAGAGAGATTTCAATGTCTATAATTATTATGTTTATACTACATACATTCTTTAGCCACTTTTAAAAAAAGTGGATCACTTCTTTTCAATTGGAATTGCACCGAGTTCGATTGACATACTGTAATAAAGATTCTACTTAAGGTTATAATATATAATATACCGGTACACCTTACACTTATTTTTAACATAGACATACGAAGTGATTTCATCTGGTCCTGTGGTTTCCCAAATTTTAACTTATTAATTAATTAATTATTTTATTTAAGTTATGCATGTGTAAGTGAAATAAATACAATTGAAAAAATAATTTACATTGTATACTCCCCAGAGGTCTGAAGATGTCATGCTTACAAAATAATGTTACAATGACGTGTAGAAACACGCTATCTCTTCATCGGGTTCTATTATTATATTATCTAGCGCCGTGAACACAACTGCAGTATGTGCTTCTGTCATCCTATCAAAGATAATAAATAGAAGATCAAGCATGATAGAGCAGTTCGCAATATAGTGGAACCTCCATGAGCATATCATTTGTTTGGCGAGATTACCTCTAGTTTGCTTGTTTCATTAGTTTCTTCACTCCATCAAATAATTTTCCTCCATTCTCGAGAGGGCGGACGTTCCATCTATTTTAATGCAAACTACGCGAGAGCTCATTCTTCTGCTCTGAGTTCTTTGATCCTATTAAAAACTGATGACCTATGTTGATGTAGTAATTAAGACATTGGAAATTCGAATGCATAAGCTGCACATCAAAGTGTCACATAAAATTCGCTAAAGATCCACTTAAGAACCTACTTTTTTAATAGCAAACAAATGGAAGTGTAATTTGCATTTCCAAATCTCAGAGAATTCACTAAAAACCTACTTCGGAGAAATGAACTGTAGTTTTAGTTTTTAATAGCAAAAGAAAGTGTAAGTGTAATTTCATATTCTAGGTTTAATTACCATACCTATTCAATAATTACCTCTTTTATAAATTTCACCTTCTTGCTTACTGTGTTCTGACGATTTGAATATCTTAAAAATAATCATTTCCCGAAATTGTAAATTCTCTAGGCAGGTATATTGTTGTACTGTATAAGGCGGCCAAAATTATACATTTTTCATTATATTATTATATGCCACACAACACTCGCACCTAGAGAGTCTGGTTGAAACATAATGTAAACCATTTCATAGCCCGTTAAAAGTCATTTGTATCACTATGTATGGAGGCCCTGAGAATGGTGCTCAGCGTAGGCCTTCAGATGCACGAACAGTACACGAGGTAGCCTGTAGAACCATTGTGACAAAACACACACCATTTGATTGTTTATAATTATGTGTATTGTCAACAGTAATTATGATATACAATAAGCCTATTGAGCGTAAAATCGTTATTGATTCCCACCTTTTAACAAATCGAAGTTGCAAGATGGCGCGTAACTATATGATAAAGAGAATTTATTGATTTCGTAAACAATACGGCTTATCCACACCCCTATTTCCTAGTGGCTATTGGAATAAGTGTTTTCGTCACGGTTCCATATGCATTTTGTTATTTATATATTTCCAGAGTGTGTTAACTCTATACTATCGTTCGAAATTGTTCCACAATGTACACGTGCTGTTCGGTTTGCTATTGCCCACTTTTTAAAGTATCATAATGTACTATAGATGTGATGTCCATTATATTATTTACTATAGGCTTACCAATTAAAGGTTTTATATAATATACTTGGCGCACATATCCAAGTACAATTTCAACGTTGTACCAATTTATAATAAATACTTTACTGATTAATCCCAAATGTAGCGTTTGTCTTCCAGAGCCTCTGCTAAGTCTTTCATAAAAGGTTTGTAGAAATCGTCCAATAGTTTTCGAGTTTCAGGTAGCATCGGGCCAAGCAGATTTGTTCTTCTTGTGTTGGTATTCCTTTGAGGTTTAGTGCAAATTGATGTAATTTCGCTATCACTTAGAGGTCCTGATAATTACACAAAATAAATATTAAAATTCGATAAAAATGGTAAAATAAATATGAATATGAGTGATAAATCCAAAACACTGCCTGTTTAGACTTTAAATTTAATTGTCACAAAAGGATCTATCCAATCAACCAGCCAACCAATCAATCAAAATAAAATAATATAAATGTAAATCAATCAATTAACCGATTGGCTGACCGACTTTTACAAATTTATAAATTATAAATAAATCAATAACTAAATCGATCGATCAACCAAACTCCGTGCTTATTAGTAATACGAATTTGTAGTATATATAAACTTACTTTGCGCCAGAAAATTGTATATTTTCGGAAGTTCTATTGTACAATTTCTCCATTCGTCAGTTCGGAGGAAATAGAGTTGCTGACGAGGAAAAGCCCTCAACCAGTCGCGAACATATATATTGTAATTCCCAATGTCGAGTCTCTGAAAGTAATTAAACATATGCCTGTTAGCTATTTTATAAGCAAATATAGTACAATTGGAGCATTAACATTGATTGTGTAATGACATAGGCCTAGGTCTACAATTATATTGGTGGTGTTGTAGTATAGTATCAAAAATGTACATAGACCCACAATTAAAAATAGAGGACGTAAACGTACACATTATCAAGCACACCCACACACACACACATTCGAGTTATAGCCGGCAAAATAAATATATTTTGTATATTCATAATGTTAAACATATTTACCACCAAGTCATCATGGTATATATATGTACATTTCCTGACATCTAGATGTTGAAGACAGTAGTTGAAACTTTTGATGGACTTTTCAACTAATAAATGAAATATTTCCGGTGACTTGGTCTGGTTCCGATGAAAAAACTTATAATCCGAGTACAATCTGTGGATTATTTGTTGGAAATTATACACGGAAAATGATATTTTGTAAACACCGCTTGACATACATTACAGTAATTTCATATAGCACTATTTCATGAAGATAAGAGCGCTCAAAGCATGGACTAAACAGCTCATTCAGTAACTTTTCTGTTCCCCTTAAAGGTCTCTTTATGTCTAAGCTTCCCAGTAAATCGGTAGGCCACCAGCTACTCGATCGTCTGTCCACAACAGGGGCTGTATACCGGGGTAACCCCATACTCTTCTCCAAAGATGTACTGGGTTCCTTATAGTGCATTTGAGCCAATTGTACACTGGACCTACGGTTTATAGTCCTCATCCTTACCGTATTCCACCTCCAGAACTAGGCGAGCGTGCCGTTCGAACCAGCGCCGATAATGTGCGCGGTGCCCTTGTACTTTATACAATGAGAATCTTTTATGGTAACCGTTCCTTTACCTGGGCTTCAGTTTTCTCTGGAATACCATGCCTATTTGACATACGACAGACAACTTCTGTAAACACTCCTCTTAAGATTTACCCTTTTTAAACGATAAATTTCTTTAAATTAATGGCATTTATTGTGCATTGAGTATATTGAGTATTCAGCATAATGCGCTACAGTATATCATCAGGAGTTGGGTTTTTCACCCATAATAGAAAATCTTGTACGATTTGTGATGATGATGATGATGATGACGATGATGACGACGACGACGACGACGACGACGACGACGACGACGACGACGACGACGACGATTATTATTATTATTATTATTATTATTATTATTATTATTATTTCTTTATTACCATCCTCCGTTTTTATTGTTGCTTTCATTGACATCACTGTTAGCTTTGCTACAGCTTGTATTGTAGCCAGTATTCCGTTTGTAATATTAAAGTCGATGACACGCTGTCAAGGACAAAATAAATACAGTACTCGCAGTCAAATATAAACATTGTCTTGTATATTTCTTAAATATAGCGTTCAGATTAGTTATATAGTTTATCTGGATTATTTGTTTGTTTATTAAAGTTCATTACACAATATTATACAATTAATTTAAATATCAAATAATTCATTTCTTCTAAATTTATCTTACACTCAAGTGGTCCATATCAAGCATAAACAATATGTATAATACACATAATAAAGACTGAAATGACTATAGCGTCATCAGGATAACCTCCAATTGAAAGATAGGTCTACTTGAAAATCATTAAATTGTTCAAACAATTGGGTATTTAGTATACGTTTGCAATGCGCAAAATGAAAGAGTAAATAGATACCAGCGGCAGTAAATACCAGCGGCAGTGAACATGGCGCTATGCGCATACAATATCTATGATTTCTAAGAGGCATTGAGACTTGTTATATAACATAGGCTAGTATGGAAAGCCGAGTCCGCCAAAAATACCATTCCATTCAACAACAATTCAAACGCACCAAATTCAAACCATTCAAACATATTCCAAATGATTCAATAGGACGTCACATCATTCAGGTAATACTCACACCATCACATTCAAGGTGTGACCATCTACCCGTAAAGCAAACCACAATATTCCAGACCATCTAATATAAACTCAAATCGACTAATGAATACAGAAACCGATCAGTCATAAATTACTTAATTCGACGTCAAGACAAACATCTATTATTCGCGTCTTTCTGTTAAAACAACATCATCAAACACAAAAAACATTTCGTTTACTCGTTTGCCCAACCATTGAGCGTGAATCCAACCATTCAGTTGTTTTTCGTTCAACTACTGTGAACACCGAACCATGCAGTGATAACAGTTCATAGCTAATTGTAGTAATTTAAAAACCCGGAGTTTGAAAAGTAGTAAGTAATTTATTAAATTAACGTAACCAGAGAGCGTTAATCAGCGTTAAGTTATCCACATGACCAAAACAAACATAGCCGATTGGTCAGTTTAGAAACAGCATTTGTGTTAATATAATTTCAGATTGAAATTCAGAAAATAAAAATTATAATATTTACCAAAATGAAGTCAAAAAATAATTGTAGGCTAACGGAATTCCAAAACTGGCTGACAACATTTTTTTTACGAAAAAAACCTATGCACTGCTACAAGTTCAATCAATCATGATTACGCAGCGTGTATCGCGGTAAATATGCAGCCATTCTGTCGTGTCGAGATTTCTATTCGACTGGTCGTCTTCGTTGAGTAGAATTTTACCAGTGCGCAGGTGGGCGTGGTTTAACGAATAACGACTAATCGAATACGGCCAATGGACCTTTCAGCTAAGCCTGACCCCTTGGATATTGTAGCTTAGGTCCTACAAAACGACAGTGTTAAAACATACGCAAACGCCGCGTATTCTTGGCCTTGTTCTGATTGTCCAGTTGTTAAGTTTCATTGACACACCAGTGGCGTATCTAGAAGGGGGAAACTCGATGATCAGTTGAGGGGTGCTAATTTGCCAAATAAGGTGATTTTAGGTGATTTTTAACTTGACCGTGATATTTTTTTTGCGGGGTAATGGGGAAGACTTGGGGGAACACGACTAATTTTTTTAGGGCGTGCGCTCCTCGCGTACCGCCTAGATACACCACTGTGACACACCACCGGAAAGGTCTATTGAAAACAAGTGACAATTCAAGCATTACCTACACAAACAGCCTACTGCGCAGAGTATAGCTTTACGAATACATTGATGCAACAGAGTAATCCTATTTATTTAGCCATGTTATATCACAACACTATTACATGTGAGGCCGCTAGCCACTAATGTTTTTGTTCTGGTTGTTATTATGGTTTTTGTTGGTATGGTAGTTGTTTTAATTGTTCATAATCTTGCTAGTATGTTATTATTCTTATTATTATATTATTATTTAGTGATATTATTTCGTTATATATAGGCCTATTGTGCTATTATTGATGTTATTTTTATTCTTTTTAATATTCATTTTCTTCTTATTTTTATTATTTAATTTCACAGACATACCTATCAGTTGGATTTCTAAATATACCGATGATCCTTGCGTCAGGTTGCACCGTACGGATAACGTCAGAATGTGTGTATTCTGGACCACCATCGACATCATCAAGCACGTGGTTATCCCATAGCGTTGACGCAGAGCCGTCTCCTATTAAATGATACAGTGTCTAAATTACAGATACAGTGGCTAATTGTAATATAGTTTAAGTAACAGACTAGCTGGATTAGATAGGCGCGAGAACCTGTACTTAAAATTGCATATTTATGAACCGAAACCAGAAAATGACTTTCAAAACGCTACGCGCGAGACGTACTTCCGCTTACAGCAGACATAATTAAATGCTGATTGGTTAATTTTTGATCCAAGGTCAAAGCTGTCCCCCCCCCCCCCCCCCCCGTTGAATAAAGTCCGGCGTAGAAAAGTTAAACCAGGTGGCACGCCATGCCTAGTTACTATAGGAACAACGCCCGGCTTGAGATAAGCCACCATTCAGACTGCAAAGTGGATAAACCCGGTCAATTAATGAGCCGGGTTTATCCAGAGCAGCGGATTCAATTCAAAATTCAAAATAAATTGGATGGAATGGAACCGGGTGGTATAAATCGATCTCCACGTTTCATGTACACACATTGGCTACCACCAAGTTTAGCCGATTGAGCAACAGCTCTAATCATAAACGGACTAACGAACTGTAAACGCGAACTACGAATAGGCCTACGACAGTATATTTACAACAAACATAGTAGAGAAAAAGTAGATTCGTTTTACCTGAAATAAGACGAGAAGCTAAAATTGAGCCGCCGGTGGTTACTTTCATAACTAACGAAGTCTGTTCGTTTAGGTACCAACTAAAGCTCTTTCCATCTGCAATTACAATAACAATCTATTTTGTCAATGGTATACCACAATAGTCACATCATGCTGCTGAAACATGTACACTGACAATTTAATAATATGAAAATAAGCTACAAGTATTTAAAATGAAACTTCTTCGGAAAATACTCCAGGTATCCCTGCTTGATAAATTGCTTAACACCGAAATTAGGACAAGATTAGTAGGTCAAGAGAAACAATACTGGAGTAAATTTACAAAAAATCAAGTTATTACATTGTAACCTGATGAAAATTTTTGCGGTAATAGTGATAATGATAGAAAAATAATACAATATTGAAAATAATAATAATATGAATAGGTCTGGTAGTAGTAGTAGTAGTAGTAGCTCGTCGGGCAGTCGGGTCAAAAAAAAAAAATAGGTCTAGTTTTCCCATCCCCGCCATTTCCGGCCATCTAGAAGTTTCAATTTTTTTAAATCTCGTTTTGGGAGGAGGGGCCCCCTCCCATATCCACCCTTGGCTCGGGACTCAGATAACGGTGCGCGCTATAGTTACACCCATAAATACTTAGCTCCCCCAGTCGGACATCATAGCCCCCCCCCCTTATAAATTATATCCTAGAGCCGCCACTGCATCGCAGATTTGTCATATGAGTAAATAAAATCTAAGTAAGTAAGAACAATATGACTAATTATATTAATAATGAATTTCTTAGACATACGATATCGACGTCTAGTCCACCACTGTATCTCCTTTGAAACCGGCACGATATCTGGATGCGAATTTATCTTGCTAAGTAAGTCAGTTGTTCCAGATTTTGGCATTCCGGCAACGTAAAAATATGGAAGGCAACGGAGTAAAACTTTGTTCTCATACCAACATGGACTCTTAAAATCTGAATTAAATACCTGTGGCACGGATTGAAGTATCTACAATAGAAAAGAATAGGATTATTTTTGATTTAGCCACAACTACCAAATATTTAATTAAAACTTGGATCAAATAACCACTAAATTACAGAACATCTAATTCGTCCACGTACAAAGGAAAATGTAACCTATGTCATTTAAACTTTACCCAGCATTACAAAATATAGCCTACGTATTGACAACATTTCTAAATTGCAAGTAGGACCACAGGACAAATAGGATTATATATAATACACTTACTAGCGCAAATATGGACTTAAAATACATTATATTTTGGGCTGGTATTCGTTGTAAAATATGAAAATATCTTTGACAAGTTTTGCAAAAATTATACTAAAAGAGCGCGGACATTCCGCAGCGAGGTTTTGAATTCCATGCTCTAACTATACGGTTCATCTCCATTTATCAGTTTTCATATTAGTGTTTGTTAAGTTTCTTTTTTTCTGCATTACTGTTTTAATGTTACTTTTGATGTTTAAGTTGTTTTAAATGGGAAAGAGTATTTTTTAGGGAGAGATGATGTATGAAGAGTACCTTAGTATTTTGATTGTTTTAGAAAAGTTTAGTACTACCACTATATAACGCTTAGGGCTGTCTCTTATACACATCTAGATGTGTATAAGAGACAGTATGTAGTTAACGCGTAGGCTCCTGCAAGAGCACATCAGCATACGCA